TTGCCCGTCAACCCCATGCCCTCGGCGACCGTGATGGCCGACTTGTTGTCCACCCAGAGGACAGTCGGCTTCCCGGCATCCAGCTGCCGGAACTCTGCAAGAAGGAAGCGAAGGCGACGTCCCTCCTTGTCGGCTTCGGTGGCCGCCACGTACTCCGACTCTGTCGACAACAGCGTCGCGCACTTAATGCGCTGGCTTGACCAGGAGACTGCGGCCCCTCCGTAGACGAACACGTAGCCGCCCGTGCTCGTCCGGTTCTGCTTGTCGCAGGCGTCGTCGGCGTCCACGTAGCCGACCAGCGTCAGCGACTCAAGTCCACCGCCGAACTCCAGGGCGGTGTCACGGGTGTTGGCGAGGTAGACGAGGCAGTGGTCGACCTCGCACCAGTGCTGGTCGCTCCTCACCGTGAGGCCGCTCCCCAGCTTGCTGCAGGCAAAGGCGATGTCCGGCCTCGTCGTTGTCGCCACAAACTGCAGCGAGCCGACCTTCTGCCGGTACTCCTCCTCCTGGCGCTCCTGTGCCTCTTCGTCGTCGAAGGTGAGCTCGGCATAGGCGTCGACCGAGACCGGCGTCTTCGGGGTGCGCCCGGTCTGCTCCTCGTCGAGAAAACGCCTACGCAGCTTGTCTGCATAGCCCTGCTGGTGGAGCCACAGCTTCCTCGCCGACCTGTCACGCACGATCTCCAGCCCGAGGTACTTCTGCACCGGCGAGATCTCCCGCAGCTCGAAGGCGGCCTCCAGCAGCTCCTTCTGCTCCTTCAGCATCTCGGCACTGCTGCTGGCGGCGAGCAGGTCGTCGACGTAGACCAGCACCCAGCAGGCCACCTTGTCGTCACCGACCTTAAAGTACAGAGCCTCGTCGACCTGGCTCTTCTTCCACCCGGCGCCGACCAGAACGTCGTTGAGCGCCTTGTACCACAGCAGCGGCGACTGATTCAGCCCGTACAGGCTCTTCAGCAGCTTACACACCCGGCCGGTCCCGTCGCTGAAGTGGTCCGGCTGGTACATGTAGAGCACCCGGTCGAGCTTGCTCTGCAGGAAGGCGTTCTTCATGTCGAGCTGCATCAGGTTGAGGTTGAGCACGATAACGATGCTGAGGAAGATCCTCAGATAGCTGCTCACCGGCGCGTACGTCTCGTCGTAGTCGGCGCCATACACCTGTGTGAAGCCCTTCACGACCAGCCTCGCCTTCTCGCGCTCCACGGTGTCGTCGATGCGGTACTTCGTCGTCAGCACCCACCGGTTCTTCATGATGTTCACCCCAGGTGGGCGTTCGACCAGCTCCCAAGTTCCCATGCTGATGAGGCTGCGGATTTCCTCCTCCATGGCGGCCTTCACCGCCTTGCCCTTCCAGCTTGCCAAGGCCTCCTTCACCGTCATCGTCGAGATGTCCCAGCGGTGCTCGGGGTCGGCGTGCATGTCGGGGTCGAGCTCTGGCAAGTCTTCGTCCTCCTCGGCATCGTCGTATAGCAGGTCGTCGTCGACCTCGTCGTACACCGTGGTGAAGGCAGCCGGGACGAAGAAGTCAGGCGGCCTCCGAAGTCGGCCTGTCCGCCGTGGTCCGACCTCCACCTCGTTGCTGTCGGTGGACTCCTCAGCGTCCGCCTGCTCGGCTTCCTCTTCACCGGCGTCACTGCCCTCAGCATCCTGCTGCACTGCAGCCGGCGTCCTTGCCGACTTCTCCCCTGTGGTCGGCTCCCCTGCCGACTGCCCGGTCGCCGACTGCTACTTGGTCGGCTTGGCTACTGCCTGCTCCCCTGTCGGTTGCTTCCTTGCCGCTGCCCCCTTCGCCGACTTCACCACCGTCGGCTTTACCTCGGCCTGCTCCTCTCCTGCCGGCGTCGACTTCACTCTCACGTCGACTTGCTGGACGTCACGTCGGCCACCGGCGATGCTCTTGGCCGGTGCCACAGGCGACGGCCCACTGCTCCCCTCATTGCCGGAGGCCGACATCGGAGTCAGCCCACGCAGGTCGGCCACGAGGGGAGGGGCAGGGGGTGCAGGGGGAGGGGAAGGAGGACGGACGACCTCGGCGTCCTCATCAGCAAGCTCACCGACCCCGGCGAGCAGAGGCAGCGTCGCCGCCGAGGTGTCCGTCGGCGGGGTGGTCGACGTCCGTCCTGACGCCGGCCCGTGCTCTGACTTCCACACTTCCAGCGACATGTTCTCGTAGAACACCACGTCTGACGTGGTGACCACCCGGTTGTCGGCGATGTCGTGGAGCTCCCAACCCTTGCTCTCCTTCGACACGCCAAGATGAAGGCCCCACTTCGCCTTTGGCTTGAGCTTCCCACCACGCTGCTGCTCGGGGACGAGGAACTGCGCCATGCAGCCCCACACCCATGCCAGCGACAAGTTGGGCTTCTTCCCGGTGAGTAGCAGGTACGGTGTCGTCCCTGGCGGCAGTGTCGACCTCTCAAGGCAGTTGCGGACCCAGACGGCCTGCCGCAGAGCAAGGTGCCACCAGTGATGCTGCACGCCCATGTGCAGCAGCATCGTCCGCACCGACTCCACCGCCGTCCTCATCTCCCGCTCCGCCATGCCGTTCTGCTGCGGTGTGTATGGGCAGGTGAGGTCGTGGACTATCCCCTTGTCGTCCACGAAGTCGGTGAAGTTCTTCCCGAGGAACTCCCCACCCCGGTCAGAGCGTAACATCAACACCGACTTCTTTGTCTGCCGCTCAGTCACTGCCAGCCACTGCACGAACTCCTGCAGCACATCCGACTTCTTGGCGACCGGCCTCACCCACACGTAGCGGGTCTTGCGGTCCTTTAGCAGCAAGAAGTAAAGGCTGCCGTCCTTGGCAGCCACGTGGAACGGCCCGCACAGGTCGATGTGCACGACTGCCAGCACGTCGTCGGCGTCGGAGCCTTGGTCGGGGAAGGTGTGTCGCGCCAGCTTCCCGCCGACGCACGAGACACACGGTGAGTCAGCGCCAGACGCCGACTTGAGGTCCAGCCCAATGGCGACCTCGTGCTTCGCCGAGCTCCGGATGGTGTCCATGGCGACGTGCGCGAGCCTCGCATGTAGTCTGTCCGGGGTCGACTTCGTCGCCGAGACTATCGCCCTCAGGGCTACCACATCCGTCATGGGCGACGTCGACTTCACTGAGCAAGGACGCAGGTCGGTGCAGAGGACCCGGCCAGTGTAGGACGCCCGGCCAAGGAAGTCTACTGCCGCCGAGACGAGAAGCATCTCGTCGCCGTCCTCCTGCAGCCTCACACCGTTCTCCTTCGGCTGGCCAGCCGACAGCAGGTTCGCGTGCACGCCTGGAACGTAGAGCACGTCGGGGATCAGCACCTGCTTCCCGGCCTTCCCTTGCAAGGCGGCCGTGCCCCGACCCTGGACGTCTTGCAGAGCCCCGTTGAAGCCACGCACGTGCTTCACGTCACCGCTCGGCTGCAGGTCGACGAAGACCTCCTTCGTCCCCATCAAGTGGTGGGAGCAACCACTATCGAGCAGAACTACTTCCGGGTTTGCCTGCACGGCTGCCGCCATCGCCTGGAAGTCCTCGCCAGCCTCCGGCGCCAACGAGACGGTCGGCTCCACGACGCCGACCAGCGAGCACGATGCCTCCTTGTCGTCTCGCCCTTTGCCGCCAGCAGAGGAGTCGGCGTCCTTTGCCGAGGTTGACGACTTGGTCGACTGCTTCTCCTTGCGCGGCTGGTTTCTGCCTCGACGGGGACGACGACTGCCAGACCTCCCGCGGCCTCCCTTGGCGTCGTCGTCGTCGGAGTCACTGCGGTCGGGGCACTCGAAGGAGAGGTGGTCGGGGTCGCCGCACAGCCAGCACTCCCGACGTCGACTTCCTCCTCCACGACCGCTATCTTTGGCCGACTCCTTCTTGTCGGCGTCTTTGGTCGGCTTCCAGCCACTGCTACTACCGCCGCTAGACTGCCTGCCCGGTCGACCACCTTGCTTCACCGGGGCGACGTAGTTCACCTGCGCCAGGAGCTCCGAGGGCCGCTCAGCTTCCTGCATCGCCTCATCCTGCAGGATGTACGAGGTAAGAGAATCCTCGTTGAGTGTCGCCCTAGTACTCGGCGCCAACGACAGTCGTTTCAGCAGGTTGTAGCTTCTCGTGAGCCCTTTGATAACGCGCGTGAGGTACGACGCCGTCGAGTAGTGCACGCCGGCCATCCTCATGGTGGCGAGAATTCGCCGAGCCCAGTTGCAGTAGTCAGTCGCCGTCTCCTCTTCGCCCATCCGTATGTGCGACAGCTGCTCCTCAAGCTGGCCGATGTACAGATCGTCGGTGACCTGGTACGTCGACTCGATGAAGTGCCATGCCCGGTGACCGGCGTCGAGGTACTCCTTGCACGACTTCAAGCACTCAGAAAGAAATAACCACTCGGAACTAACTAATTTCTTTTTGTATCCATGCATACAAATTGACGCCATCTCTCAATCACACAAACACGTACAGTATCTTACACCGTACTGTTGTTATAGCTGCTCTAGCTGTCATGTGGTCCACATGGGAGGAAGGACAGAAAAAACTTTCACTTCTTCCAATGCTTCTTGCCCTATCCCCCTGAACTCTGATGAGAACCTTACCATAAGTGTTGAATAGTGAGACCTTTCAGACGGCATTAGGCAGAAAGGCACGATGATATCAGCTCAAATTCTGTACCGTTTGACCCCAAACTTATCCTCAAACTGCTCGTTTGTACCCCGGAGAAACTGCTGCAAGCACGCCGTTTCCATTTCCGCTTCCAAATTCACCAGCTGCTGCTCTTTGAAAGCTCTCCCTCCTGGCTCGTCACTCCCTAGGAAAAGCCCAAGCAACGGTCAACTGCCACACCTCCCCTTCGTACTGCTGCTCTTGCCTGTCACCCGCCCATTCACTCTTTGTTTCTTCCGCTCCCCGTTCAATCCCCTCTACACCCTCCAATTTGTCAGACACAGAAACCCAGCTTGCTCCTCTGTTTCTCAGCTGCAATCGAAACATCCCTCCCGTCTCCAACACTCATCCAAATAATCATCTCGTGTGCCACAACCTCATTGCCCATTCACACCAGCAAGCAGGCCAGCGGCAACCCCAAGGGCCATGTTGGGGAAGAGGAGGGAGAGGGAGAGGTGGAAGAGGGCGAAAAAGGCTGCAGACAGCATGTCAGCGCCCATCCTGGGGTGAAAGAGGCAGGAAAGGGGATAGTGCAGGGAGGAAAGAGGGGAAGGATACAGGACAGATGATATCAAGTGAGTGAAGATAGGAGAGAACGAGTGACATTGGATTGATGCGAGGAGCGTGGGCTATGGGAATGGAGGAACTTATCAGACCCAGAAAGGTGGTAACAGTAGAGACTTGCCAAACCTCACTACCAAGCCTCCTGCAAAGCCTCTCACATGCCGAGCCTCTCTTACAGGGCTGTGAGCAGCAGCCCTCTGAACAAGGAGGGAAGGGAGAGGTGGAAGAGGGCGAAGAGGGCTGCAGAGAGCATGGCAGCGTCGATCCTGAGGGAGAGCCTGGGAAGACGGCAGGGTGGATCCAAAGCGAATGGCAGCCCAGGGAGCCAGGAAGGAGGTAGGGCGGGGAGAGGTCCACGCCTTACCCCCATTCCTCTCACTCCCTCGTACCATTCATCCACCCTTCAGGAAGACGGCATGGCGCCGTGGCGGCCCTCCCGGCACTTTCTATACCAGTGGCAGTGCCATGGCAGCCAAGGGGGCCAGGGAGGAGGTAGGGCGGGGAGATCTTTACCCCGTATCGCCTGGCCATGATCCGTTGGAAGATCTCGGAGGTGGAGGGGAAGAGGAAGGTGGGCAAGTATGAAGCAATGAGCGATTTAATGAGGGAGGGGAAGCGAGGTAGGGCATCGTGTGCCGAGGCAATGAGAGGAGAGACACGCTTTGATAAAGACGGGTTTGATAGAAAAGCACCACTCACCTCACCCACTCCCAGAATAGCCGTGAGATTGAGAGTGAGAGGGAGGACGTGGTGTGCTGATTTCCCCACCCCAATGCCATAAGGGTCGAGGTTTACACCAGAGAGAGTGGCAATGGTGGCGAGACAGGCGACATCTGAGAGGAGAGAGACGCTTTGATAAAGATGGGGTTGATAGAAAATCACTACTCACCTCACCCACTCCCACAACAGCCACGAGACCGAGAGTGAGAGGGAGGGCGTGGTGTGCTGATTCCCCAATGACATTGACGCTTTGATAAAGACGGGTCGAGATTGATGCCAGAGACGGTGGCAGTTGTGGCGAGGCAGCCCAGGAGGGAGAGCAGCATGAGCGGCCAGCGGGAGAGGCTGGTGAGACTTGTGAGCTGCTGACTCACCAATGCCATAAGGGTCGGGGTAGACACCAGAGACGGTTGCAGTGGTGGCGAGGCATGCGAGAAGCGAGAGGAGGAGAGGCGGGAGGGTGGTACGGGAGAGGTGGAAGAGGCCGAAGAGAGCTGCAGAGAGCATGGCAGCATTGATTCTGAGGGAGAGAGAAGCAGGACAGGGTATAGTGAAAGAAAGTGGGGAGGAATGCAGGAGAGACAATACCAAGTGAGTGAAGATAGGAAAGAATGAGTGAATTTGGATTGATGAAAGAAATTGTGGGCTATGGGAATGAAGGAACTTATCAAACCCAACAAGGTGGTAGCAGTGGAGCCTTACCAAACCTCACTACCGAGCCTCCTGCTGAGCCTCTCACCTGCCGAGCTTCTCTTGCAGGGTCATGAGCAGCAGCCCTCTGAACAGAAGCTCCTCTGCTACAGCCGGTGACACCGCCACCCACAGGAACAACTGTAGCAGGTCCAGCAGAGGCAGGGCCACAGCCGCTGTAGAAGAGGCAGCTGTAGCAGCCACACCCCCTCCAGTCCCACCCGGCAGCAACAAAGGACCCAGCAACAAGGCTGTAGCACTCATGCTATCCCCTCCGCCTCTTCCTGCTGCTCCTGCTCCTGCCAATGCTGCTAGTTCTGCTAATATCCCTTCCCCCTCCCCTCCATCACATGTTTCAAGAGAAACTAGAGTGAAAGTAGAGTCCATAGAACAGAACCCCCTACCGCCCCTGCCACAATCACCTTCAACCAGCTACTGTTTCTCCCTGCTAACGCTCACCTCTCCCCATCCCCACAGGTTTGTACATAACTGCTCATTACAACCACAGAAGCCTATCCGCACCAGCCCTACACGTTGACCCCAAACTTGTCCTCAAACTGCTTATCTGTGAATTGGAGAAACTGCTGCAAACACACCAGTTTCTTTGTCGCCTCCGATTTCACAAGCTGCTTCTCTGTAACAACAACAGCTCTCCCCTCTGACTCGTCATTGCCCAGGAAATCCTCAAACAGCAGTTTACTGCCACCATCCTCCCCTTGGCACTGTTGCTCTTGCCTGTCACCTGTTCTTTCAATATTTCTTTTTTCCGCTCCCGATTCAATCCCCTCCACTCCCTCCACTACGTCAGAAAGTGACGAGCAAACAGAACCAAACTTTCCCCTCTGCTCCTCAGCTCCAATCGAAACACCCCCAGGTTGAATAACCACCTCATGTGCCCCAACCACATAGCCAATTCGCACCAGTGCCACATGACGCGGTCTGATTCGCCGATCCAAACTGAACCCAAGAAGTGGAGGAAAGGCAAGCACCTCCATTATAGTGAGACCCATGTCCCGTTTTAGGTACTCCACCTTGGGCTTCAGGTTAGTTTTCCACCTGCAGTAAACAGACAGCGGGTACATCATAATCAAATCCACCACCAACCGTCGAGCCCTGCATCTCTTGTCACTTAGTGCTGAGTTAAATGCTATGGAATCATTTTCCCCTTCCAAGTGACTACCTCCATCACCTTCCCCCGAACTTTGCGTCTCATTTTCCGCTTCTTCACTGCTCTCCAGTGCTTCTTCCACTTCTCGCACAAGCTCTCTAAACGTCTCCTTCATACCATCTTCACTTGAACACAATAACGTGGGAAATCGTGCCGCCGCCCGCACAGCATTCTCTCGGCCAATCAAATCACCCAGTACCTCCACCTTTCTTTGCAGATTCTCCTTTGATAGTCTCCGAACCATCGAATAAATCCTCACCACTCTTTCCGTTGCCTCCTCACGCGATAAGGAGGACGAGAGAGGATGAATGGACACTGCAGTATAAGCCTACTTAGGTGGTCCTTCTCCAAATGCGGCTCTTCTAGTCGCCGTTGGGCGCTCTGCCTCCTCCCGACTTGGTGCCATCTCTGCGTGCTGCTCCTGAGTCCTGACCATGCCGCAATTGCTGTGTGCTCACACACTTTTATCAAGACCAACTCGCAGTGCTGCAGTAAGCAGGGGATATCTTGTTTAGATAGAGTAGGGTGTATAATGGTGGATTAGAAAGGTGATGTGTTGATAATCACACGACCCAATTCCTCCAGTTCCTATGAGTATCAATGTATCTTGCCAATTAAGCGTTTCAAAAATGCTTTTTGAGGAACCAAAATGGGCAGTTTCTATACTTTTAGTGCCCCTTCTTTGACAGGCACTTATTTTTCTTGACCTTCCGTTTCTCTTGGAAATTCCCTTTCCTCTTATTGCCCTTGCTTGCGATGCCCCCTCCATTCCCCTTGCGCTTCCTCTGTTTCACCTTGGGCTGCTCCTCGGACTGCATGGGTGGTAAATGCGACAATGAGAGGGGTGAACCAGTGGCAAGGGGTGCACGGGTCAGAGCAGGAAGTTCAAAAACTTCAACCCCTACAAGTTGCAAGATGCCAAAGGGGGCACACGCACTGCATGTTGCGTGCTGATGCGCTGACGTAGCACAAGCACTGGCATGAGTGCGGCGCGTGGGTGCTCTCACCGGCTCATCAAAGCCACTGAGGCTGCCAGTGCTGTCCTCGGCACCACCCCCCTGCTTGCCATCATTGAAACAGTCCACGTGCCGCACCGCACCACCACCTGAGGACGCCTTTGCCACGCAGGCCACTCGCACGCATGGCAACACACACACACGCATGGCAACACACACACACGCATGGCAACACACACACACGCATGGCCCCACACACACACGCATGGCCCCACATACACACGCATGGCCCCACTCACACACGCATGGCCCCCCACACACACGCACACACCATGATGCTTTGTGTGGCAAATTTTGAAGCAGCAATGACCGAAGCGGACACTCTCATTGCTCACACCCATCCCTCTGGCTCCTTCATGCAACTCCGCCCTTCTCACTCTCCTGCCTTGCTTTTTTCCACTATCCATCTACCCACTTATCCCACTTCTTTCCTTCTCCCTCCTTCCCCTCCTTCACTTTCCAATCCCATCATCCCACCATCGCACCCGGTGCATGCGCGCCACTTGCCCCCTGCTCGCATGCCCTCTCCCCCCCTCCCGCCCTCCCCAACCGATCCACGGCCGGTCATAGCACGGCGAGCCCAGAACCCCCACGCATTTCTCCCCGGACCACTGTGGATCGCCCGCACATTGAGCGCGCTCCACGCCCACGCGCCCCTCACCTGCCACGAGCGTCGCCTGCACGCCCCTCACCTGCCACGAGCGTTGCCTGCGCGCCCCTCACCTGCCACGAGCGTCGCCTGCGCGTTCCTCACCGCCACCTCCACAAGCCGCGGGTCCAGCGCCCCCCTCTCGCCTCCCTCGCCCCCCTCCGCGCTCGCCGCCAGCCGCCGCTGCAGGAACCGCGAGAGGGCCGCCGCCTTGTTCGTCGCCAGTGGGCCCCCGGGATGTGCCTGCCTGCCATGGTGGATGTGGGGGGGGGGGGGGGGGGGGATTGGGGGAAAGGAGGGGGATGAGTTATGTAGGGGTGAGGGGAAAATGGGGGAGGTGCATCCGCTGCGCCACCTTGACACCCTCATTTTGACCCGCGGCCCGTAGCGGAGCAGACGACAGAAAATTGAGCGACGGATTGAATCGCAGGCGGTGGACGATGGGGCCGATGAGGAGTAAGAGCGGCGACTCACCGTGCGGTCGCTGCAGCTGCGGAGTGCGAGGAGCGCGGTGGACTGGGAAGTCGCGCCGCGGAAAATCGACTGGCGCGAAGGGCTCGGCGCTCGTCGTCCGTGAGTTCTTCGACTTCCGATACTCGCTGCATTGGCCGCGCAGTGGCGTGCGAGCAGATGTCGCAGGGGTACCTATGCTGGGAGACACCAAGACCAGTGGAGAGCCCTTCATTGGAGTGGAGTGGGTTCCATTAGGACGCGTCACCTCCCTCGATCGATCGTGCAAAACTTAGGAAGATCGATCGTCCACCGCACTAAAACCCTGAGTGTTGCATCTAAAACTATTTAAAAACTTTTTAAACCGAATCAAAGATCGATTCTCCGCAGGATCGATCGAGGGAGGTGACGCGTCCAAAGGACGGGCCGACGTTGTACATACCCCCCCCCCCCCCCCCGACTATGTTTCCTTCATCGATTTGGATTGCGACACACCGATTTGAAGCATTCAAACACTGGCACGCCCTGCTTGCATTCGTTCTTGTTCTAAGGGCGTGTCCAGCGCGTACGTTACACTACACTACCATCTACAGTTACCACTTTTTCACTATGTAACCACTATTTCACATACTTTTTGGCCTCGCACACCTCGTGAACGTAAAACACGGACACTGCCTACACGTGCGTTGAATCATGAACATGACATGACACATAATTCACGCAAAATACCCTGGGAATAGGGTTTTTTTATTAGAGTAAATTACTCTGTTTCTCTGAAATCAGACTCTGGCGTTTCTGGGTAATTTTTTTGGAAGGTAGATATTCTCTAATTGCCAGGGTTTTGTTTTTAGATCCTCTGGTGACCCGGTGTAATTTTTTGGAGGGTATTTTTTTCTGTGTACAAGGTACATCGCTTTGACCATACCCCCCTTCGTTTGTTTGCTACAGATGGTCAGACGGGGTGATGTATATTTCGACCAATACAAACCCAGGCGGGGGCGAACCGGACATTTGTTATTTTTTTGGTTTAAATGTTCGCCCGAACATCGAACATGTTCGGGCATTTGTCCCAATTTCACGAACATCATGTCTTCGTGTGTCGCGCTGGTTGGGTATGAAACCCACGGAAAAAGTAGATCGGGCCATTTCAGAGCTCGATCTACTTTTCTGGGGTTATCCTAGCCTATCCGCCTCCAATACCTACTTCCGCCGCTAAAGCGCCACTAGGGTTGAGCAAAAAAACGAACACACGTTCGAGGCGAACCGAACAGGTTATTTTTTTAGCTTAAAGTGTTCGTGACAAACGTGTTCGAGGTTCGCCCGAACGCGTTCGTGTTCGGGCTGCTGCTGCAATTTGCCCCGCGTCGAACACGAACGTGTTCGAGGTTCGTCCGAACATGCCTTCACAGACGAACACCGAACATATGTTTTTGCTAAAAGTGTTCTCCGAACCGACTGTGTTCGCCCCTTGCTCATCCCTAAGCGCCACCATCAACCGTTACGTAGGCAAACATGTGGTGGTAAGGCCGTTGTTTAGGGTTGTTCCTGCTGGTTTCGCCTTAGGTTTAAAAATGTCACGGTTAAGTAGGTGGCTTCTAAATTTCAGCCCTGGTTTAGTTTAGTGGACCCCTTTTCGGGTTTGCACCATTACATTTAGTTATTTAGCACCGCTGCACCATTTAGTATTGTCCGCGTACCCGGCTTAACCTCCAGATCAACGCCTTATACACGCAGATTTTTCAAGCCTGCAGTCTAGAGTCAGTGGCCGAACCCGAACATGTTCGGGTTCGCCCGAACATGTGACATGTTCACCCACGGGTATCATGTTCGCCCGGGGTGGGCGAACACCGAACACCTGTTTATACAAAAAAGTGTTCGGGCGAACCGAACATATTCGGTTCGCCCTTTTAATGTGTTCGTGACTGTTCGGGCGAACACGTTTGGTGTTCGCACGGTGCTCATGGCTAGAGAGTGGAATGATTCGTTCAGCCAGCTTCCTGCGACAAGGACGTGAGGCCGCATCTCGTCTGCACTACAGTGAGTGGCCAGCCACTTCTTCACTGCCATGTGGGTCTGACTTCTTCTGACTTCTTTGACCTTTCACTTCTTCTAACAGCATTTGGACAAGGGTAGCAGGGGGGAGGGAGAATGATAGGGGTAGCAAGGGGGAAGGGAGAATGACATGGGTAACAAGGGAGAAGGGAGAATGATAGGGGTAGCAAGGGGGAAGGGAGAATGATAGGGGTAGCAAGGGGGAAGGGAGGATGACATGGGTAACTAGGGAGAAGGGAGAATGATAGGGGTCGCAAGGGTGAAGGGAGAATGACAGGGGTAGCGGGGGGAATGGAGAATGACAAAAGTAGCAGGGGGAAGGGTGGATGACAGGGGAAGCAAGGCAGAAGGGAGAGTGACAAGGGTAGCAGGGGGAAGGGAGAATGATAGGGGTAGCAAGGGGGAAGGGAGAATGACATGGGTAACAAGGGAGAAGGGAGAATGATAGGGGTAGCAAGGGGGAAAGGAGAATGATAGGGGTAGCCAGGGGAATGGAGAATGACAAAAGTAGCAGGGGGAAGGGTGGATGACAGGGGAAGCAAGGGGGAAGGGAGAGTGACAAGGGTAGCAGGGGTAAGGGAGAATGATAGGGGTGTCAACGGGAGTTGTGTTTGGCCCTGTCCTCGCTTGGGCGGAGCCGACCTTGTGGTCGGGTGTGTGGGAGGTGCAGCCGACCTGCAGCAGTGGGCGAGCTGGTCGACGGGTTTGGTCGACTTGCACGAGGGCCACTGCAGGGGCGCCGACTTCGGAGGGCGCCGAGTGAAGGTGGTCGACCAGGCAAGGTCGATCTCGGAGGCGTCGACTTGGGGACGCCGACTTGGGGCAGCCGACTTGGCGTGGTCGGCTGACAGATGGACTCGCCGACTTGGAGGTGGGCGACCAGGAGCGTGGTCGACCTGGAAAAGGTCGACTAGTGGTGGTCGTCGACCTGGATGGTCGACCGGCACGAGGAGGAGCTGGTCGACGTGGTGGTTGCCCAGTCGACCAGGTTACCCGGGCGACGGGTTTCTGCGGAGGCATGCGACGGTCGCCCAGGTGTGCGTGGCGAGGCCGGCCTCGGTGTGGTATCCCGAGGTCGACGTGGCTGATCAGATGCAGTTGTCAGCACGAGGACGATTCGGTGTGTGCGCTCTGTAGGTGACAAGGCACGGCACGCCAATCATCTGCGAGCACCTGCAAAGCAGGTGCGCTGCTGTCCAGCGGGTGCAACGCTGTGCAGCCGCCTTGCTGCAGCGTTGGCACGCCGTCGACTTGCAGTGCTGGCATGCCGCGACTTTGCTCTGCTAGAGCGCGGTCGACCAAGTCGTGCTGGAACGCGGTCGACCGTGCTGCGCTGGCAGTCGACCGACCTGCATGCTAGCTCTGATGTAGTCAGTCTTGCCAACTTTGTTGCTATCATTCTGTATCATTGTTGTCAACTTTCCTTAGTGAAACTCTTGCCAAATTCTCTCGTGAACTAGCAAGTAGTGCGCGCACAAGGAAACGACTAAGGAACGAACACAGAGATCACTCAAGCCCCGTGCCTAGCCCGTAGTCTAGCTCCCGTTGAATTAAGTTATCTCCGCATGGTGCGGTGAGCGTGGACGGCACACGACTTACCTTTCAGTCTGGTCGACTTAGTCCCAATTACTTATTGTGTTCGTAGGCCGACAGCTGTGCGAGCATCACCATGGTTGGCGTAGGTGACACAGGTGTTGCAGACACCTTGGAGGCACGGCTGGAGGACGCGAGGAGACGCCATGAGCCCGTGAGTATGGGGAGACACTCCCCTGGGCGGTCGTCGAGGCTGGCATCCGCGCTGTGTGGGCGATGGAGCACCCTTCTCGGCCGGCTTCTCCTCGACCGGTGAACATTGCAGGCGGCGTTGACGTGGGCGTCCACGTCGGTGGTGACCAAGTCGGCAGCAGTTCGGGAGGCACGTCGAGGCAGAGAGGAGTCATCCACGCCGATGAAGTCGGCGGCGTTCAGGCGCGAGGGATGCAGTCGTCGGCGGTTGCAGGGTCCTCGCAAGGCGGCGTCGGAGGTCGACGAAGCGGATTGACGCCGTCGTCAGCGACTCACGTGACAGCGGGCGGGATAGCGCCGAGCTACGGCTATTTCAAGTTTACGCCGGACAGAATCTCGGTCACCCCTCTGCTGGTCGGTCGACCCGACATCCTCACGTGGAAGGAGGCAATCGAGCCTCAGCTCGAGATGGCCAAGCTAAAGTGTTTTGCCGACGGCACCGTGGCGACGCCGTCGGAGAATGACCCTGAGCTGCGTGCAGAGTTCCGCGTTGTGCAGCTGTTGACCTTCACGGTCATCTTGTGGTGCTGCTCGCCGGGCATGCAGATTTCCCTGACGCCGTGCAGGGACTACTTGGACGCCGGCCACCAGGCGTGGCACTTCATCGAATCGACGTACCAGGTCACCGACGACCTGTACATCGGCCAGCTCGAGGAGCAGATGACGCATCTGCGGATGGGCGACCAGGAGACTGCGACCGACTACTGCAACCGGGCTCGGCGACTTCTCGCCACCATGAGGATGTCCGGCGTACAGTACTCGACGGCGTCGTACGTCACCCACGTCCTGAAAGGGCTCCCGAGCAGCTACAACCTGATGAAGCGGATGTCGGTGGTGCCGAGCACGCGGGCGACGCTCAACGAGGACCCCCTGACCTGGTACATTCTCAGGGATGAGGCGATGCAGGAGGCCGAGCGGTCCATGGAGCTCTTGCCGCAGGTGAACTGCACCGCCCCGGCGAAGCAAGGTGGTCGACCGGGACAGCGCGGGCAGTCTGGCGGCGGTGGAAGTGGTGGTGGGAAGCCGGCCAAGGACGCCGACAAGAGGAAGTCGGCCCAAGATGGCGGTCGAGGAGGAGGAAGTCGACGTCGAGAGTGCTGGTTGTGCCACAACCCTGACCACCTCTCCTTCGAGTGCCCCGACCGTAGTGACTCCGACGACGACGACACCAAGGGAGGCCGAGGGAGGTCGGCCGGGCGTCGCCTTCGTCGGGAGAGTAAGCCGCGCAAGAAGCAGTCGACCAGGTCGTCGACCTCGGCGAAAGACGCCGACTCCTCCCCTGGCGGCAAGGGGCGAGACGATAAGGAGGCGTCGTGCTCGTTGGTCGGCGTCGTGGAGCCGACCGTCTCTCTGGCGCCAGAGGCTGGCGAGGATTTTCAGGCGGTGGCGGCAGCTGTGCAGGCGAACCCGGCGGTGGTCCTCCTCGAGAGCGGCTGCTCGCACCACTTGATGGGGACGAAGGACGCTTCGTCGACTTGGAGCCGAGCGGCGACGTCAAGCACGTGCGCGGCTTCAATGGAGCGCTGCAGGACGTCCGGGGCCGAGGCACTGTCGCCCTGCAAGGAGCAGCCGGACAGCAGGTGCTCATCCTCGACGTACTTTACGTCCCGGGCGTGAAGGCGAACCTGCTCTCATCCAGCCAGCTGAAGGAGAACGGCGTGAAGCTGCAGAAGGACGGGGACGGGATGCTCCTTGTCTCGGCGGCGGGGGACGTGCTTGGTTGAGCGACGTATACCGGCCGGGTCCTCTGCACCGACCTTCGTCCCCACTCGGTGACGTCGACGCCGGCCTCTGCGGAGGTGGTGACTCTGCGGACGATAGTCTCGGCGACGAAGTCCACGCCAGGAAGGTGGCACGCGCGGCTTGCGTATGTCGTCCTCGACACCATCACGAGCTCGGCGAAGCACAAAGTCGCCACCGGCCGGGACATCAAGCCGTCGGCCGGCACCGACTCGCCGTGTGTCTCGTGCGTTGGCGGGAAGCTGGCGCGGCACACCTTCCCCGACAAGGGCTTGGACGCCGAGGACGCTCTGGCCGTCGTGCACATCGACCTGTGCGGGCCGTTCCGGGTGGCGGCCAAGGACGGGAGCTTGTACTTCTTGTTGATGAAGGACCGCAAGACCCGCTACGTGTGGGTGAGGCCAGTCGCCAAGAAGTCCGACGTCCTGCGGGAGTTTGCGCAGTAGCTGGTGGTGGTTGAGCGGCAGGCGAAGAAGTCGGTGCTGATGCTGCGATCAGACTGGGGAGGGGAGTTCCTCGGGAAGGCGTTCACCGACTTCGTGGACGGCAAGGGGATCGTCCACAACCTGACCTGCCTGTACACCCCGCAGCAGAACGGTATGGCGGAGCGGGAGATGAGGACGGTGGTGGAGTCGGTGCGGACGATGCTGCTACACATGGGCGTGCAACACCACTGGTGGCACCTCGCTCTGCGTCAGGCCGTCTGGGTCCGCAACTGCTTTGAGAGGTCGACGCTGCCGCCGGGGACGACGCCGTACCAGCTGCTCACCGGGAAGAAGCCCGACTTGTCGCTGGCACGAGTGTGGGGCTGCATGGCGCAGTTCCTTGTCCCCGAGCAGCAGCGTGGTGGGAATCTGAAGCCGAAGGCCAGGTGGGGCCTTCACCTCGGCATGTCGGAGGAGAGAAAGGGCTGGGAGCTCCTCGACCTCACCGACAACAGAGTGGTCACCACGTCGGACGTGGTGTTCTACGAGACCATGTCGCTGGAGGTGTGGAAGTCGGAGCACGGGCCGGCGTCGGGACGGACACAGGTCAACCCGCCGACGGACACCTCGACGGCGACGCTGCCTCTGCTCGCTGAGGTCGTCCACCCCCCCTCTCTTGCCCCCCCCTGCACCACCCCTTGTAGCCGACCTGCGTACGCTGACACCGACGTCGGCCAACGGCGATAAGGGGAGAAGTGGGGCGTCGCCTGTGGCGCCGGCCAAGAACATCGCCGGTGGCCGACGTGACGTTCTGCAAGTCGGCGTGGGAGTGAAGTTGACGCCGACAAGGGAGCGGCAGGCAGAGGAGGTGCAGCCGAATTTAGTGGAGCCGGCGAAGGAGGCATCAGCAAGGAAGCTGCCGACAGGGGAGCAGCCAGCACTAAAGCCGACCTCGGAGCAGTCAGCAACCTGGCAGTCAACAGGGGAGCCGATCGCAGGGGAGAAGTCGACAGAGGAGCCGACCGAGGTGCAGCAGGACGACGAGGGCAGCGAAGCCGGTGACGATGGAGGGGAGCAGTCGGGCGCCAAGGAGTCCACCGATAGCGACGTAGTGGAGGTCCAGCCTGGACCACGGCAGTCAGACCGAATTCGGCGGCCGCCCGATTTCATCGTACCGGCTGCCTTCACCACGGTGTACGACGTGGTCGACGACGACCTGCTCTACGACGATGCCAAGGAAGATGAAGAACTGCCGGAGCTCGACCCCGACATGCACGCCGACCCCGAGCACCGCTGGGACATCTCCACGATGACGGTGAAGGAGGCGTTGGCGAGCTGGAAAGGCAAGGCGGTGAAGGCCGCCATGGAGGAGGAGACCCGCAGCCTCATCGGCATGGGGACCTGGGAGCTGGTCGAACGCCCACCGGGGGTTAACATCATGAAGAACCGGTGGGTGCTGACAACGAAGTACCACATCGACGACACCGTCGAGCGCGAGAAGGCGAGGTTGGTCGTGAAGGGCTTCACGCAGGTGTATGGCGCCGACTACGACGAGACGTACGCGCCGGTGAGCAGCTACGTCACGCTGAGGATTTTCCTTAGCATCCTCGCCGTCCTCGACCTCAACCTGATGCAGCTCGACATGAAGAACGCCTTCCTGCAGAGCAAGCTCGACCGGGTGCTGTACATGTACCAGCCGGACTACTTCAATGACGGGACCGGCCGGGTGTGCAAGATGCTGAAGAGCCTTTACGCGCTGAAGCAGTCGCCGTTGCTGTGGTACAGGGCTCTCGTGCTACTGGGCGCTGGCTGGAAGAAGAGCCAGGTCGACACGGCGCTCTACCTCAAGGTCGGCGGGGATGGCGTGGCCTGCTAGGTGCTGGTCTACGTCGACGACCTGCTCGCCGCCAGCAGCAGTGCAGCGATGCTGAGGGAGCTGAAGGAGCTGCTGGAGGCCGCCTTCGAGCTGCGGGAGATCTCGCCGGTGCAGAAGTACCTCGGGCTGGAAATCGTGCGCGACAGGCCGGCAAGGAAGCTGTGGCTCCACCAGCAGGGCTACGCCGACAAGCTGCGCAGGCGGTTCATCGACGAGGAGCAGACTGGGCGCACCCCGAAAACGCCGGTCTCGGTCGACGCCTACGCCGAGCTGACGTTCGACGACGAGGAGGTCCAGGAGCGTCAGGAGGAGTACCGGCAGAGGTCGGCTCGCTGCAGTTCGCAGCGACGACGACGAGGCCGGACATTGCCTTCTCCTGCAGCAAGCTGGGCAGCGGCCTCACAGTGAGGAGCGACCAGCACTGGCGCGAGGTCGACTGCTGCCTCGCCTACCTCGCCAACACGCGCGACACCTCCCTGGAGTTCGGCGGTGGACCAGAGTCACTGAAGCTGGTCGGCTACGTGGACGCCGACGACGCCGGCGACAAGCAGAACCGGACGAGCACGGGTGGCTACATGTTCGTCTACGGAGGGGCCACAGTCTCCTGGTCGAGCCAGTGCATCAAGTGTGCGACGCTGTCGTCGACCAAGTCGGAGTACGTGGCGGCAACCGAAGCCGGCAAGGAGGGGCGTCGCCTGCGCTTCCTTCTTGCAGAGTTCCGGCAGCTGGATGCTGGGACGCCGACCGTCCTTCGGGTAGACAACAAGTCGACCATCACGGTCGCCAAGGGCATGGGGTTGACGGGCAACCTCAAGCACGTGGAGCGGCAACAAGCCTGGCTGCAGCACATGGTGAAGCGAGGGAAGTTTTCGCTGAAGTACATCCCGACCGCCGAGCAGCCAGCTGACTTCCTGACGAAGGCGCTGCACTACCCGGCCTTCAACCGGTGCTCCGTTGCAATCGGCCATGTGCGCCTAGCCGACGTGGGCGACGGCGACAACGACGTGCAGCAGTAGGTGCCATGCCCTCATGCATGGCTGGTGCGGTGACCGGAGTGCTGTGTGTTGGGTGCACGCCGACGAGCTATTCTCTGAGTGGTGCTGCCGTGTGGGCTGGGGGCCCAAGCGTGAACGCGGGAGGGGAGTGTCAACGGGAGTTGTGTTTGGCCCCGTCCTCACTTGGGCGGAACCGACCTTGTGGTCGGGTGGGTGGGAGGTGCAGCCGACCTGCAGCAGTGGGCGAGCTGGTCGACGGGTTTGGTCGACTTGCACGAGGGCCACTGCAGGGGCGCCGTCTTCGGAGGGCGCCGAGTGAAGGTGGTTGACCAGGCAAGGTCGACCTCGGAGGCGTCGACTTGGGGACGCCGACTTGGGGCAGCCGACTTGGCGTGGTCGGCTGACAGATGGACTGGCCGACTTGGAGGTGGTGGACCAGGAGCGTGGTCGACCTGGAACTAGTCGACTAGTGGTGGTCGTCGACCTGGATGGTCGACGGGCACGAGGAGGAGCTGGTCGACGTGGTGGTTGCCCGGTCGACCAGGTTACCTGGGCGACGGGTTTCTGCGGAGGCACGCGACGGTCGCCCAGGTGTGCGTGGCGAGGCCGACCTCGGTGTGGTATCCCGAGGTCGACGTGGCTGATCAGATGCAGTTGTCAGCACGAGGACGATTCGGTGTGTGCGCTGTGCAGGTGACAAGGCACGGCACGCCAATCATCTGCGTGCACCTGCGAAGCAGGTGCGATACTGTCCAGCGGGTGCAACGCTGTGCAGCCGCCTTGCTGCAGCGTTGGCACGCCGTCGACTTGCAGTGCTGGCAGGCCGCGACTTTGCTCTGCTGGAGAGCGGTCGACCAAGTCGTGCTGGAACGCGGTCGACCGTGCTGCGCTGGCAGTCGACCGACCTGCATGCTAGCTCTGATGTAGTCAGTCTTGCCAACTTTGTTGCCTGTATCATTGTTGTCAACTTTCCTTAGTGAAACTCTTGCCAAAATCTCTCGTGAACTAGCAAGTAGTGCGCGCACAAGGAAACGACTAAGGAACGAACGCAGACATCACTCAAGCCCCGTGCCTAGCCCGTAGTCTAGCTCCCGTTGAATTAAGTTATCTCCGCAAGGGGTAGCAGGGGGAAGGGAGAATGATAGGGGTAGCAGGGGGGAGGTAGAATGATAGGGGTAGCAAGGGGGAAGGGAGAATGACATGGGTAACAAGGGAGAAGGGAGAATGATAGGGGTAGCAAGGGGGAAGGGAGGATAACATGGGTAACAAGGGAGAAGGGAGAATGATAGGGGTGGCAAGGGGGAAGGGAGGATGACAGGGGTAGCGGGGGGAATGGAGAATGACAAGAGTAGCAGGGGGAAGGGTGGGTGGATGACAGGGGAAGCAAGGGGGAAGGGAGAGTGACAAGGGTAGCAGGGGGAAGGGAGAATGATAGGGGTAGCAGGGAGAAGGGAGAATGATAGGGGTAGCAGGGGGAAGGTAGAATGACATGGGTAACAAGGGAGAAGGGAGAATGATAGGGGTAGCAAGGGGGAAGGGAGAATGATAGGGGTAGCAAAGGGGAAAGGAGGATGACATGGGTAACAAGAGAGAAGGGAGAATGATAGGGGTAGCAAGGGGGAAGGGGGAATGACATGGGTAACAAGGGAGAAGGGAGAATGATAGGGGTAGCAAGGGGGAAGGGAGAATGACAGGGGTAGCGGGGGGAATGGAGAATGACAAGAGTAGCAGGGGGAAGGGTGGATGACAGGGGAAGCAAGGGGGAAGGGAGAGTGACAAGGGTAGCAGGGGGAAGGGAGAATGATAGGGGTAGCAAGGGGAAGGGAAGGGAGAATGATAGGGGTAGCAAGGGGGGAGGGAGAATGACATGGGAAACAAGGGAGAAGGGAGAATGATAGGGGTAACAAGGGAGAAAGGAGGATGATAGGGGTAACAAGGGGGAAGGAAGAATGACAGGGGTAGCGGGGGGAATGGAGAATGACAGAAGTAGCAGGGGGGAGGGTGGATGACAGGGGAAGCAAGGGGGAAGGGAGAGTGACAAGGGTAGCAGGGGGAAGGGAGAATGATAGGGGTAGCAAGGGGAAGGGAGAATGATAGGGGTAGCAGGGGGAAGGGAGCATGATAGGGGTAGCAAGGGGGAAGGGAGAATGATAGGGGTAGCAGCGGGAAGGGTGAATGACAGGGGTAGAAAGGGGGAAGGGTGAATGACAGGGGTAGAAAGGGGAAAGGGAGAATGACAAGAGTAGCAGGGGGGAGGGAGGACTGTCGAGGGTAGCAAGGGGCCAGGCAGAATGACAAGGGTAGCAGGGGGAAGGGAGAATGATAGGGGTAGCAAGGGGGAAGGGAGAATGATAGGGGTAGCAAGGGGGAAGGGAGAATGATAGGGGTAGCAGGGGGAAGGGTGGATGACAAGGGTAGCAGTGGGGAGGGAGAATGACAGGGGGTAGCAGGGGGGAGGGAGAGTATGATAGGGGTAGCAGGGGGAATGGAGAATAACTAGTGTTAGCAGGGGGGGGGGTGGATGCCCCCACTAGCAAGGGGGAAGGGAGAATGACATGAGAATGACATTGGTACAAGCAAGCCTCCTTCATGTGGTAAGGAGATACAGAAGGAGAGAGATGGGTCAGGGGGACGGAGCTCACCTTAGTGTTTACCACCCTATGCCCACAGTGCTGCAAGGCTCCCCTCTTGCTCCCTTTTTGCAATCCCCGTTACCTGCTATGAGCAGTGGGGCGTGTGTGGAGGGAGAGGGGATGAAGTAGGTCGAACGTGGTAGGAAACGTGCGGCTGGGGGGACGCCGCATTGCGAATGCGGCGGGTAGAACGTGTGGGGGCGAACGCGGCGGGAAGAACGTGTGGGGGCGAATGCGGCGGATAAGAACGTGTGGGGGCGAAGGCGGCGGATAGGAACGTGTGGGGGCGAAGGCGGCGGGAAACTCGCGAAGGGGAGACTGCGGCACGCCTATTGCGAATTGGCATTTGCACCGATTTGGGGAGAATCCGAATGATGTGTCTGTCTCTCTGCGCATGCGCGAGCGAATCCACGGTTATGGGAATGCCATAACCATTCCAGTGCTGATAGGCGACGGTGAGCGTGCGGCGGGCTGAATGTCTAGGTGCGAAACTGGCAAACGCGATTACAACGGTGCGATTGCCGCGTGACGAACTAAACGGGGCCTGGGTGGCGTGGCGAATGCGACAGCGCGAGTGTGCAGCGGAGAATGTGCTTGCGCGAGTGTGCCGTGGCGAATGCGACTGCGCGAGGGAGCCGCGGCGCATGCGACGGCGAGAGTGTGCCTTGGCGATTGCCTAAATGCGAATGAGCCGTGGCGAATCCTCACCGTCACGAATGTTTCACACTCGTGCCGAGAGCGAAATGCGTCTTAGCAATCGTGGAGCTATGGGCGACATAACCCTAAAGAACTGGGCGCGACGCGCCATCGTATAGGATCTTGCTAAGGCCGTACGTGGTCGTTCCGATTCTATTAGGTTGTGCTTTATTGTCGTCACTAGTCGATCCCTAAGGCTTCATGCGGCAATGTGATTGCGTTCGACGACAATGGTCACGCACCTGTTGTTGTTATCGATCTGCGCCAACGTCCAGTGCGGTTTGTTAGCGAATAGCTAGTGCTCAGCGAGTCTAATAGTGGTTCTTAGATAGCGGGACTAACCCCTGCCGTTTTGGGACATGAGAGGGTGTCTCAGGACGTGTCTCAAATGCGCGAGTCCACGTGGGTCCGACGCGGACCCGACGGACCAGCTCGAGAACCAGCGCGTGAACCAGCGGCGGATTGGACCAGGATTCGGGATTAAATTCTCGTTATAGCGTTCGAATGGCACTACAACGGTGCCTTTGATTGGTCGCCAAACCAGTCCGCCTCTCGTCCGTAACCAGTAATTTCGCAAACATTGTTTTGCGAACTTTTCAACCACTCGTGATTTTCGCGCTGGATTATCTGAGAAGTTTCTAACAGGCACACAGAAAAGGGTAGCTCGATTTCAGCAAGTGTGCCTTTCGTCGTCACTGTTGCAATTCGCAGCGACTGTATAGCCCAAGATGAAACATATCAAGCGGACCAGTCCGCTTCTGGTACACGGCTGGTCTGCCAAACGGGTCCGTCGGACCAAAACTCGGACCAGGCATACACATTTTAGCGACGGACTGGGTCGAGGCGGACCAGGTCACATGAGACACCCTCTCAATTCCCTCGGTCCACCCTGGTTCTATGCGGTCGACGTGGGCCAGTACACCAAACCAGGGTGGACCCGAGCGTGGACCCACATGGTACGCTGCAGCGGACCAGAGGTGTTCCAGGGTAGCTCCCCCGTTTTAATGGGCGAATGGGACTATACTGGGGAGACTTGTCTGGCTCAGCGAACCAGCCCGCATCGGACCCCTGAATAGTGATGTGTTTGGCGAACACCTGCGAGCTCACCTCGCAAGAGTCGCAAATCTTGGCAGCGCGCGCTGGTGGACTGGCCAATGACTGGCACCTCTAAATATCAGTTTCCTGGTAGCCGACGCGCGTCATGGTAACCCAGTTTTGGGCAAAAAATACAGTAGCTCTCGCCTACCTTCCACTGTAGATCGCATCTGCGGACCCAACCAGCACATTGTCCGAAGCTGGTTCGCCAGGCTGGTCCACCAGGGTCCGGCGGACCAGTCCAGCGAATTTGGGGATGCACAATTTCAAGGGCGGACCAGGTCGGGGCGGACTGGCGGACCAGTCGAAGTGAGACACCCTCTTACTTCGTCATCAAAATTCACTCACACTCCTTCATGCCAGCTTCGCCAATGGTTTGCTTCTACAAGTTGTTGGTGCGCGGACTCGCGGAGTTCACGGCGAACCGTAACGCGCTCTTGTATAAAAGTACATAATATACTACGGTAGGAAATCAGGAATATAATAGGTGGAAAACGCTAGCGACAGCCTTCTGAATATGCTCTCTGAGGTACAGCTCTAACACTTGGCAGCTTCAAGATCTCTCTCTGCCCATGTTTGCCGGCACCTACCACTCAACATTGAAAGTTGTCACACCTCAAATCCTTGTGTCGAAGCACGAGAACGGCTGTCACATTCGCCGCGCTTTTTCCCGTCCTCCTCGTCGCATTGTATCGCATTCCCGCGTCTATATGTGTCGCACGCGACTCGGCTCCGTCTCCGTCCACCAACACCCTCCCGCCTGTAGGACCCTCGCTCCCCCCATGGCGCGTATCTGCTTTCCGCTAATTCCGCTAGCCACTGTCCCTCCGCGCGCCCAGATTTCGCGAGCGGGCGGCTTTGTGCGAGCGCAGACGATTCGGCGGAAGCAGGCGGAGGCGGGGGGCAGTTGCGGCGGGGTAGAGCGGAAAGGCGGCGGCGAGGAGTGGGTTTAGATTTCAGTTCGACAGGCAATCTCTGTGCGACGCGCGATCGCTGTGCGTCGGGGGATGGTTACGTTCCGCAAGTTTGGAAGCATTTGTTGTCAGCCAGTCCAACGAGGCGTGGGGCGACGCTTTCCCCAACGACGGACGGCGACGAGGGCAGCTGGGCCTGCGTAGCAAACTCCCGTTGGGAAGAGCGGTGGGTGCGGAAGGGCGCGGCTTTGGCGGGGCGCGGGCAGATGGGGAAGCGGAGTGGGGTGGTGCGGGTGAGAGCTCGTGGATGGTGGGGCAAGGGCGGGGCGGGGAAGTGCAGCGGAGAGATTACTAGCCGAGGTGGAGGGGGAGGCGGTCGCGAGGGGGGAAAGTAGGGGGGGATGAGGGCAGACGGGGCGGGGTAGGAGCCGGTGAGACGGGTGGGGGGCGGGCGAAGGTGGGGGAGCTTCTTGCGGGAGGGGCAGGCAGGTGAGGTTAGGGACATGGGCGATGGGAGTGATGGTGTTAGCAGTGGTGAGGGAAGACGACAGCAGCAGAGCAGAGAAAGGCGCAGCAGGAGGAGGAGCAGCGGGGCAGGGAGCAGAGGACTGAGCAGCAAGGGGAGAAGCAGAGGGGGAGGCACGAGGAAAATCACGGAGGGCGGCACGGAGGGAGGAAGCAGCGAGAAGATGGTGGTGCCATCAGCGGCAGTGCTGCTGCTGCACTGCAGGGGCTGACCGCGGAGGCGAGATGGCGACTGCTGGGCGCGTGCACTCAGGCCCTGCTTGCCTAAGGTAGGCCATAAGGTAGGGCGCACACAGCCTGATATGCTCGGATACTATATGTGCACATTCACCCGCTCCCTCCCATGCCGTTTTTCAAGAAGTGGGATCTTGAGCGTACCCCGTTTTCTCTCGTTATGCCTCCATTCTTCCCCCCCCCCCTGTGACCGTGCTTACCCAATTCCTCACTGCCCTCCCTCCCGCCACCCCTCACTCCCTTCCCCAGGCCAGTGGCGATTGACAGCAAGGCGCACCAGCTGTCGCAACAGGAGTGGTCCACGTATTGCACAGACGTGATTGGCCGGGCAGTGCTGATGTCAGCGAGCCAGTGGCAGCAACAGCTGATGGGCGGCAGCGGGCGGAGAAGAGAGGAGCGACAAGTGGGCGAGGTGGCAGCAGGGGGGGGTGGTGCAGCAGGGTGGCGTAGGTGACGAAGCAGTGGGGAGTGGTGGGGAGCGGGAGGGGGTGAGAGGAGGGGGAGGCGAGGCAGAGGGGGTTGCAGTGGGGGAGTGGCAGGGGAGGGAGTGGTGGGTGAGAGGATGGCAGGTGGGCGCTCTACTGCCACCTGCTAGACCACCTCCGGTTCACCCCGCACAACCCAGCATGACAACGCTGACAGGTGAGAGCAGCGCTCAGTGTAACGCTGTCTTAATCAGATGTGACACCGCTCTGCTGGTCCGCAGCTTCTGTCGCACCCCTGTCATGCTGCTGCTGGTGGAGGTGCTGCTGCTGGTGGAGGTGCCACAGGTGAGGTGGTGTGTTGATCTAGTGGTGGGAACAGCAGAGGCGGCACAGGTCGCTCTGTCCCCTACTCCCCCTGCCGCCTGTCATACCCGACCCGCTCCCCCTGCTCCCTCCTCCCCGCTGCCTCCCCCTGCCGCATAGCACGTGATTCTATTCCTTACTCGGACTCCCCCCTGCGCCCTCTCATCTTCCCCCCCGTCTCCCCCCCGCCTCCCCCACTGCTTCCCCCTTCCCCATCCTGCTCCCTCCTGTCCCCCATCTCCCCTGACCCCCTCAGTCGCATAGCAACGGTGGTGATGGACAATCTGGTGGCGGGGATGGCAGAGGCGGCACAGGTGCCTCTGTCCCTTATTTCCCCCTTCCCCCCTGTTATACCCCTTTCCCCCCCTTGTTCCCCCCTTCCACCTCCCCTTACTCCCCCCTGATCCTTCCCCTCCGCCCCCCTAGCACGTGTGGTGATGGAGGATGGCACAGGTGGCACAAGTGGCTCTGTCCCCTACTCCCCCCTGCCCCCTGTCATACCCCTCTCCGCCCCCTCCTCTCTCCCCCCCCCCAGTCGGATAGCAGGTGTGGTATTGGACGATCTGGTGGTGGGAACAGCAAAGGTGGCAAAGGCGGCTCTCTCCCCTACTTCTCCCCGCCCTTGCCATACGCCTTCCTACCCGCTCCCTCCTCCGCCTCCCCCAGTGGCACAGCCCATGTGGTGGTGGACGACCTGGTGGTGGAGATGGCAGAGGCGGCGCAAGTTACTCTATCCCCTACTTCCCCCTGCACCCTGTCATGCCCCTCTCCCCCCCCACTCTCCTCTCCCTCACCTCTCTCTTCCCTTCTCCCAGTCGCATAGCCCATGTGGTGGTGGAGGTGGCAGAGGCGGCGCTGCTGGCCGTGATGGAGGCGGCCGGCAGAGAGGACAGCCGCCACTGGATGGGGCTCTCGCTGCCCCGCCTTGACTCGCTTCACTCGCTTGACTCATGACGTTCACTTGAGGGGGCTACAACGGGGCAGGGGGATGGGGATGGTTGGGTTGAGAGAGTCGCAAGGGGGGTTGGAAGGTGGGAGATGGAAGGGGAAACGTGGCAAGGGGAGGGGTTGAGGGTCGCTGGGCAGGGCAGGGGAGGAAGCAGCAGCAGGGGAGGAGTGAGCATGGTTGATGTGCTATCTCTGTTCCGGGAGGAGTATGGGTCCTCTCGAAGGTTTGAGAAGTTCAGAAATGAGGTGAGTCGCTGCTATGGGTGCATCATCGAAACGCGATTCAGGCTCTTCTCTCCCTCTCCCTCAAAACCCAACAAGTCCCTCTTTTCCCCTCCATTTATCCTTTCCCCGTCACCCCCCCCCGCTCGCTTGCCTGCTCATCTCTTCCTTTTTCCGCCCCCTCATACGCTGTATTCCTCATAAGTGCTTCACGTGGTGCTGTTCAAGTTTCTGCATTGCAACTGCCCATTAATTTTCTCATGCTCCACACTCTTGCTCACCTTTTTCCTGAAAATGTTCCACCTGCCCCCGCTCTCTGTTCTCCCGCTCTGCATGCTCCCCCTCTGCCTTCTCCCCTCTCTGCCTGCTCCTCCCTCTCCCCGCTCGCGGCACCTCCCTAATGACTTCACCAGCATGAGCAGCGCCAACAGCAGGCGCGCCTCTGGCCTGGCTGCAGTTTCTGTTGAGACGAGACAGGGCGAGCAGCCTTGGTGGTGTGGGCAAAGGCGGTTCAGGCATGGGTGCTGTGGTGCAGGTGGCGGGTGCAGGGGTTGGTGAGGAGGGGGCCATGGGGGCTGCGAGTGGCACAAGGCGGTGGTGGCAGGGGAAGAGGAGGGTGGAGAGGGTGAGGGAGCAGGGGCAACAAGGAAGGGTGGGTGGCCCCGTGGGTCTGGTGCGGCGCAGCGTTGTGGGCAGCAGACGAGGGGAGCTGCGACAGCTGAGAGGATGGTGAGATGAGGGCGGGCATGGGTGGTGGGCAGGCATGTTCTCTTTGGGGTGGCTGCATGGGGAGGCATGTACAGAAGTCTTCCAAGGCTTGTTCTACCATGCCTCCATAACTTCCTCCACCACCCCCCCTCCTCTCCTCCTCCCCCACCCCACCCGCCGCCCTTGTTCGTATCCACCCGCAGGAAGCTGCTGGTGGTGGTGGCATTGGAGCTATCGGATCTGCTCCTGCCGCTCTTCAAGGCGGCCGTCACAGCAGCAGGCACAGCCGTCTCCTTCCTCCTCGTTGCTCTCGTTGGTCACTCGCCGGGGCTTGTGTACCGGGGCATCCGGCAGAGCTGGGGCAGGCTCTCTAGCTGCACCACTGGGTTGCTGATTGATGACGAGAAGGGTACCATGCGTGCTTACCACCATCTCTTCTGGGACTATGGGGTTGATATCATGAGCTTCATGCTTTACAACAATCGGAGGTAATTTGAGCGCTCTTCAAATGATTCTGATGCCTGCAGTGGGCATGTCCAACCAACACATCAGCATCAAGTGCACCAGTTTGACTGTAACCTCAAATAAAACCGTCCATCTAAGCACAGCAATCATAGCACTAGCTGACGTCAAAGCAAGATTAGCAAGCCAGTGCTGTCTTCACCTTCCTGCTAGGTTCAATCGCAATGGTTATACTCTCAGTTCCTCAGAGGCAGTCCCTGGCCATCCAGCTTCCCATAGCGTAAACGACTGAATGTATAAATTATTCCTTACTTTGCTGAAGAGAATGTCGACTTTCATTGAAGCCATGAAAAGCGGCTTTGGCAAGTACCGTAGGCGAGAGTGTATCCAGGCAGAGCGATGCAGCTTCCTGTAGTAACTGTTGAGAATACGAAGTTATATGAGGCTAAGGATCGAATGAGAGCGCGTTAGAGGGCGCCGATGCCGGAGGTGTGACACGCTGCCTCCTTTCATCCCACCCTCTGTCGCTCGCACCGTTCCAACTCGTGCCAAGCTGAGGAAGATGCGTCCCCATTAGGATTCTTCTCTTCCGCCTAAAAACGTAATCTCTCTCACTGGCCACACACTGCGGATGGCTACGGGTCACCTCGTCCACGTCAGACTCTCGAAGCTTCAGGGCGGGTGAAGCATCACATGACGATCTACCGCATCTTCGAAGATAGGTTTGCAGCAGTCTTTGTATGACGCGTTGAGTTCCGTCCTCGATCCCCCCTGTCCAAGTTTCGTGAACCTGGAACCAGAGGGAAATCCGACACAATCTTCTAGCTCTTTCGGCTCAAAAACGCGGTCCAACGGAGGATTTCACGCTTGGTTCTCTTCGCAAACGCTTGTAACTCCAGTTCGTCAATTGGAAAATGAAGTGTGTTGTTGACAAAGTTTTCGCACCGCCAACATGGCATGTGTTTCTGCTGATTGGGTGGGAATTTCTGGATTTGAACACAGGTGCTATGATTGGCCACCCAGTTACGAAACCTGTTTCAGAAGACTTCAGAGACCTTCCCTCTCGAACGGGAGCCGTGACTGCAAGACAGCAACAGCGCTGCATGCATATCTGCGTGAGATGAGGCGAGATGAGCAGTGGGAAGGCAGGTGGCACAGAGTAAGACCGGCGATTTACAGATTCCTGCGATGGCTTTCTTTTCGCTCCCCCCATCATGGCGCGCATATGCTTTCCGCGCACTGCGCCCACCGCTGTCACCCCGCTCCGCCCCGCCTTGCTGCCACCAGCAGCGGGCTTGCGGATGCGCGGCGGAGGCCGCGGAGGGGGGCCATCCCTAAAATGTACTGACCCACAGGTGACCCTCAAGAAACTTTTAGGCAAGATTTAGGTCATGTAGCAATCTGACCCTAAGGTTACTTTTGGGAATGACACTTTAGGGTAGTTTGAGGACAAGTACGGGTCAGATTGGTTAACCCAAAAGTAACTTTCGGGTCAGGTACGGGTCAGATACGGGTCAGGTTCGGTTCAGTTCTGTAGCTTTGAGGTCAGGTACGGGTCATTTCAAAGTGCCCAAAACTGACTTTTAGGTGAGATTTGGGTTACCATCAGGACACTTTTGGGTTAGATACTGGCTATGCATATCCCTGATATAGCATGCTTCATTCTGTGTAATAATGATATGTGTGTAAAAATGTATAATATTGAAAATGAAATACATAACAGCCAAACTCCAAATACAGCATGGCTACAAAAGAAACAAGCATGATGGACCTTTGAACATATGGCCCAGAAAAGATAGATATCTCACACAGCTAATATAACCTGACAACACAAAACCAACAAACAAGCATGAAAGGGTGAAAGGCCTCATTCACACGGAAAGGCCCTATGGAAGAAAACCAAAACATACACTTTGAAATTATCACCTTTACTGCTCGGTTAACCAAGACGACATTAGGAATTGCATAATAATAATAATAATAATAAAATCTTCGGAAGCTTGTACTCCTGCGAGCTTGTTAGAAGGGCCGAAAGATGTCAACGACGCGGAAGTGGTGGCGACGCGGAAATGGTTTCGACACAGCACATTCAAATAAATCTTCACCGCGGATATGCACCTGCTCGTAGAGACTACAAAAGGAAAAGGTGACATTAGACAAGCTAGCATGAAAAAAATGGGGGAAAAAACATAAACGATCATCTATTGAAGGTGATACTGCATACCTCCATTATCGCCGCCGCTCGTTCTGCGAGTAAGTAAAGAAACGTGCAACGACTTAGTAATAGGGAAAACGAAACAACAATCTGCTCGGAAAGACGACATTGATAAATCGCAATAGCGGAAAGATAAAGTACAACATATTTAGGAAATACAATCAACAATAAACAATCATATGAATCACCAAGATTGACTATCAGGTTGTCTGAAGATTGACAACAACAATCTGAAGACTCTCAGGTTGTGTTGGCACTAGTTTCCTGCCAGAGGAAAGTACAAAACGGGAAGCAATAAAGGATATAAATAAAACGCGTATAGTAGTATTGGGACAGCAACATTTTGGTCGCGGCGGAGGCGGAGATTGGTTGCGCGGGAGAGCGCAGAGAGGAGCCCAATTGGGTGGCGGTTTAAAGAGGTGAAGGACGATTGTTGCGTCGCCTCGCCGTCGCGCTCGCGCTCGTCGCAGCCTTGTTCGCCGCAACCAGCAGCGCCGCGAGACACCTGCAGCGCCCCATGTACGCGGAGTTAATCGACGATAAGGCATGGACTCATCTCAAATTCCTTTCCTTCGACGTTCCTCTGTCGTTCGCCTAAGACTCGCATGCGTCAACCTCATCCTCAGCCCGGCCGATGCGATCATGAAGGTGCAGCGGAGCACCGAAGAGGAGTGGCTGGCCCCGCGGCGGTGCCAGAGTCTCAACTTCCACCCCCCAAGGGGGGCTGCCAGGCGGGCTCCCAGGGGAAGGCCTACGGCGCCGTCGTCCGCCCCGCCTCAGTGTCGTCGTAAGGCCCTTGCTGCCCCCAAAACGTTGGACCGTGCAGATGATTTAGCATGAGGCACTTCCCTTTTTTACTTGCAATCGCCACTGCACGTCAGGCGCCGCTGATTCCCCACCCCTCGCCCTGCCTTCTCTCTCGCCCTCTCTCTGCCAGGCTCATCCCTGCTGACCAGCTGCTGGCATCCACTAAATGCCGACCCGGTGCGTGCATGCCACCATCACGCCACACGCACAGCACAGCACAGCACAGCACAGCACAGCACACTGTACCACAGACGAGCACAGCAGATGGCGGTCACACCTCAAAAGATGGGCCAAGCCAACGTTTTTTAGCCTCGGGGGGCAACCTCGGCCCGCCTTGTGGAGCGCCGCATCTCCTCTTGGTGGATGCAGGCAGGCAGGAAGGCAGGCAGGCAGGCAGGCAGGCTTGTCACCCCATCCCCCGGGTCTGCCAGGCAAGATACCCTGCGGGTGTGGATCTACTGGGCACCACTGCGGCAGTATCAGAAAGATGTTTGTCAGCCGCCCCGTCCCTGGCCTGCATCGGTCCAACCCTGTTGTGTGCTTGGCAGATTGGACAAGTGACTAGGCCTGGGCAAGTCCTGGGCTCGCCGTTGCCATGGTTCTCCTCTCCCTCTGCACTGTGCCATGCCAAAACCGCACATTCTGTAAGATCATTATCCTAAACTGGGTCCCGCAACAACAATTGACACCCTCCCCTCTCTTGCCTCCCCTCCCCGCACCTCCCCTCCCCTTCTCTCACCATCCCTCCCCTCCCCTCCCCTCCCCTCCCCTCCCCTCTCCTCCCCTCCCCTCTGCGTTCCTGCTGCGTCTCTCCTCCTTCCCTCCAGTCACACCATGGCTGTCCCAAAGCCTGCTCGTGGGACTGTGGGGAAGTGGCAGCATGCGTTACAAGGCCCACGGGAGGGGAGTGCGTGTGCCCCGACACTCAACCCTACAATGCCACTGACAGGCAGTGCCACGGCGAGCGCTGCTTCCTCTGCTAAGGCGGATGCCTGCTTGCTGTGTGCTGGTGAGGTGAGCCAATAACGTGGGTTTTTCCTGACGTTCCTCCATGCTTGCCTAGGGTCACTACAAAGCATGTACGTCACCTCCATCTCACCGTGAGTGAGTTACATCATCGCATTCCTCCCGCGCCCCACTGCTCTCTCGCTGCACTGCACCGAACCTCCTGCTTGCGTGCACGCTCTGCCTCATGGCAGAGCCAAACCCGTGCGATGGGGTGGAGTGTGAGGCGGGCGCGCACTGTGTGAGCAGGGATGGGAAGGGCGTGTGCGAGTGTAATGACGGCTACATCTTGAAGGGAGGCGTGTGCAGTGGTGAGGCAACGTCACATGGGCATGAGAGCACGTCTCTTGCCGGTTCCTCAATGGCGGCTTTGTGGCATCCCCATTGGCATTTCATCCTCACCCCCCGCCCCTCTCTCTCCCATCAATATCCTCGCCAGTCACCCCCTGTTCATTCATTCAAGTGTCCCTCACATTCTCAGTGCTCCTCCTCCTCGCTGCCTTGGTGCTCCTCCTCGCTGCCTTGGTGCTCCTCCTCGCTGCCTTGGTGCTCCTCCTCGCTGCCTTGGTGCTCCTCCTCGCTGCCTTGGTGCTCCTCCTCGCTGCCTTGGTGCTCCTCCTCGCTGCCTTGGTGCTCCTCCTCGATGCCTTGGTGCTCCTCCTCGCTGCCTTGGTGCTCCTCCTCGCTGCCTTGGTGCTCCTCCTCGCTGCCTTGGTGCTCCTCCTCGCTGCCTTGGTGCTCCTCCTCGCTGCCTTGGTGCTTCTCCTCCCTGTCTTGGTGCCAGACTCATGGGATCTTTGTGCAAATGCCAAGTGCCCGGAGTGGTCGTATTGCGTGCGGCGTGCCTAAGGACAGGGGAGGCGTGTGTGCTACTGCCCCAACTGCGGTGGTGAGTGAGTGGGCTGTGCACCGGTGGTGAATCAAATTGGCAGTGCCGGCTTTTGGTTTTGGAAGGGGGACGTCTCACTACACCTCACTTTCATAACCTGCTATTCTTTCACTCTCAATTTCACTCCCAGTCCCTCGCTCTCTCACCTCACCGTATCTCCTGCAAATGTCTGCATCCTTCCGTCCTCTCCCCACCCTAATCTCAACACTCTGATTCCGCTCCTTGCATCTCCAGCTGCTGATCCCTGCGATGGAGTTGAGTGCGGTTGCGACCAGCAGGGTTGCCGTTGCAAGGAACGGGCAAGCAGTGTGCGAGTGAATGGCCGGCTACACTAGGATCAATGGCGCGTGCGTGCACTAGAGAGAAAAGCTGAACGTGCAATTGATATGTCTCTAGAGAGAAAAGCTGAACGTTTCTCTCTTTCACTCTCGAAAAGGTCTCAGCTATTTCCCAAGTAACTTCTTGAGAATCCGAGCGTCGATGTCGAATGGATTTAGAATGTCATTTACCTTTCGCCCCAATCCAGACCGTTGAAGATTGAAGTCTGGTCAGCCTGGTAGACAGGAACATACGGGAAGAGCTCTCGGAATGCGACTCACAGCCTCCCTCACTCATTGATGAAAACCTCGTGTGAGCCCCAAACTGGTATGATTGAATGATGTCGACAAATGTCGAGGGAGATGAACTGGGGTTCGTAACCCATGAGAAATCGAACGGCCCACCCCTGCTCACTTCGTCTAGCTCTAGGACAGGCTTCGACGCTTTCCGCTTTGCTACGCATTTGGCGCACTACATGTGACGGGTTTGCGAATTCGCGTAAAACTCGCGTCCACGCATGCGAATGCCATCATCGATAGTAGTGAATTCTTTATGCTCTAGTGTTTTTTTAGTGCTAGAAGCAATTCTCAGCCCAGAACAAGCAGTTCCAGACCAGAGCAGTTCTTCGCGGTCAAAGAGCTGCTCCCACCCTGCTTTCCAACCTGCTATTTCTCCCTTCTGCTCCTGCGTCGCATTCGCTTATCAAGTTCCCCCACAAAATGTCCAAGAGAGCCCAGTAAGCAATGCTTTCTTTTCCGTTTTGAGTAGCCTGTCAAGAATAGAACTAGGAATGAAATGATTGAACTAGGCAAGAGGTGAGTACAAGTAGAGGAAACCTAACCCTAAAGTGTTGTACTCACTAAGGAGTGACCCGACTGTAGCCTAGAGATACAATTGTAATCTGACACACCCCCATAGGCAAAGTAGGGGACAACAAACACAACAAGCGGTCACAAGACCAGTCTGCAGAAGAGAACACAGCTCAGGGTGGATCACAAAGTCACCACGCATTCTGAGCACAAGCAAGTGGCCACAAGGCCAGTTCACATGCAGAGGTATATAATAGCAAGGCAGTACACTGATCACAACCTAGCAAGAGAAAACAAGCAGGTATAAAGATATATAGCAGTGTACAACAAGAGCAAGTCAAGCAACCAACAGGTGAGGCAGGGTGGGCACAAGCCCAAGAGCAGTGCAGAAACGGTGATGATCACCAGACCCAAGGGCCTTGGTGAAGACATCAGCAATGTTGGCCCGAGAGGCCACGTAAGCAAGGCGCAGCTGACCACGCTGCTGCAGCTCACGCGCAAGGAAGTAGCGAAGAGCAATGTGCTTCGTTCTGTGCTCCAGTCTCTGCTCGCGACACAAGGCAAGCATTGCCTTGTTGTCGACGTACAGAACTGGAGGAGAACGAGGCCGCTCCCCCAAGTCGGTCAGCAGGTAGGCCAACCAGCGTAGCTCCTGTGCAGCCATGGCCCCAGCGTAGATCTCGGCCTCACAGCTGGAACCAAGCACAGAAGAAGAACGAGTGGACCTCCACGAGACAGAACCGGAGCCAAGACTGAAGTAACCCTGTGACGAACGCTGAGTCGTCTGGTCGTCGGCCCAAGAAGCGTCAGAGTGTCCTGTGAGGACCACCGAACCCCGTCCTCCAAGCACGAGCCCCATGCCCGATGTGCTGCACAAGTAACGTAGTACCCTCTTCGCAGCATCAAAGTGCACCTTTCGGTGTCGACCAGGTGCCACGTAGCGAGCCAGGAGGCTGAGAGGGTACGCGAGGTCAGGTCGTGTGCAAGTCATCAGGTACATGCGGCAACCCACAAGCTCTGGGTACGGACCACTCGGCTCTACGGACTCGTCCGAAGGTGGAGCTGAGAGCGAGTGGCCGGTAGACAGAGGAGTGGGCTGTGGCGAGGACCTAGTGAAGCAGAAACGCTAAGGACCTGGTGCACCATGTGTGACTGAGTGAGGGTGATGGTGCGCCGTGGTCTGTCCCGGGTGATCTGCAAGCCAAGATAGCTCCGCAGCTCACCCATGTCAGTGCAGGTGTGTCTCTCTTGCAGCTCCGCCTTCACTAGGGCCAGTGCCTCAGTGTCAGCAGTAGCAAAATCCAAGTCGTCGACGTACACGAGGATGTAGAACGGCGGCAGAATAGTGTCGGTGCGTAGAAACAGCGACGGGTCAGCAGTCGAAGGAGCAAACCCAAGAGCCGCAAGTGTCGTCCTCAGTGTGTCGTGCCACTCACGGGGCGCCTGACGCAGGCCGTACACTGGTCGCCGTAGGCTCCACTGGGTACCCTCAGGAAACGACCCAGTGAAGCCCTGTGGACGGCGCAACCAGATGGCCTCGTGAAGGCTACCCTGCAAGAAAGCTGTCGAGAAGTCGAGGGAGTGCAGCTCGTAGTCACGCTGAGCTGCAACGTGTAGCAACACCCGAAGAGTGGTCATCTTCGGGGTGGGGGAGAAGGTCTGAAAGAAGTCGACCCCCTCACGCTGACTGAAGCCTCGAGCAACGTAACGTGCCTTGAAGGCAGGCGGAGAACCCGGCGGCCGCTTCACCCTGAAAATCCACATGCCACTGACGATGTTCGCCCCAGGTGGGGGAACCTCGTCGACGTAGGTGCCTGTGGACTTCCAGGAAGCCATCTCTGCGTCCATGGCTGTCTGCCACTGAGAGGAGTACTCACCCGAAATCGCCTCCCTGTAGGAGCGCGGGGTGGGGATGTCAAGTGCATCCGGGTCTCCCTCAGGGGCAAGTAGCATGGTCGCGTGATGGGGTGAAGCGGCAGCAAGGCACTCCAGCTCCTCTTGTCTGTCCTCAAGAACGTCACAGCCAAGGGCAGTACAGCCAAGAGCAGTCTCACCCCCGACGGACGGAGGACAGGCAGGGACAGGGTCAGAGACAAGACTCGCAAGGTAGTCTAGGCGGTACACAGCAGCAAAGTCAACGAGCTCAGCTACTAGGGCAGACGCAGCAGGAGACGAGAACGTAGGGTCCGTCACAACCGTAGCAAGAAGGCGAGTAACAGTCGGACTGGACGCACAAGCAAGGTCAGACAGAGGGTCAGCAACGTCAGGCAGAGAGGACGCAGGAGGTAACGGTAGTACAACACGCTGAGGAACAGAGGAAGGACGGAGTGTCATATCCTGAGTGCCGGGGACAGCCGGAGCACGCGGACGACGAACACGAGGGACACGAGCACGGACAGCAGCTCTAGGCTCAGGCTCAAGGTCAAAGCTAGACTCAGGCTCTCGACGCTCAGGGGTGGAAGCACGAGTCTCAGGCTCTCGACGCTCAGTCAAGGACTCTGACACCGCAGTGTAAGGAGCAGGAGCAGGCAGTGGGGAGTGTGGTAGCAGCGGTGGCTGTGACTGGTCCACTGGCGGACACAGCAACGGAGGAGTAGTACCTGCCACAGGGAAGCCAGTAGCACCTGGCGGAAGACTGAGAAGGTGGCGAAGAGCACCAGTAGCTCCCGTACCTCCAGCACGAGCAGCTCCTCCAGTACCCCCAGCAACACCTCCAGCACCAGTAGCACCAGCACCTCCAGCACCACGAGCTCCGACAGCGCTAGCACCTCGAGCACCAGTAGTACCTCCAGCACCTCCAGCTCCAGCTCCAGCGCCTCCAGCACCAGTAGTACCTCCAGTACCTCCCGTGCCAGCAGCTCCAGTAGCACCTCCAGCACCTCCAGCACCAGCAGCACCACCTTCTCCGGCAGCTCCAGCACCTCCAGTACGAGCACCTCCGGGACCAATAGCTCCAGCACCTCCAGTACCTCCAGCACCAGCACCTCCAGGGTCAGCACCTCCAGCACCTCCAGCACCAGCAGCAGCTCCAGTACCCCCAGCACCAGCAGCACCCCCAGCACCAGCAGTACCTCTAGTACCTCCAGTAGTACCTCCAGCACCTCCAGCACCAGCATCACCTCCTGGACTAGTAACTCCAGCACCAGCCGGACCGTACCCTCCACCACCAGGACTGCCTCGCCGAACGTTCCACGCACGAATCGCCTGCGGCGAGAGCGTCTCAAGTAGAGCAGGCTGCGGTGGCTGTCCAGCTCCAGTACCTCCAGTAGTGGTAGCTCTAGCACCTCCAGCACCAGAAGCCCCTGTAGTACCTCCAGTAGTACCTCCAGGCCTAGTAGCTCTAGTACCTCCAGCACCGGGACTTCCAGAAGGACTCGCAGCACCCCCAGAGTCAGCACCCGAAGTCTCAGCACCCCCAGAGTCAGCACCCAAAGTCTCAGTACCCCCAGGCTCAGTACCCTCAGGCTCAGTACCCTCAGTCCCAGCACCTGCAGGCTCAGTGCCCTCAGTCCCAGCACCCACAGGCTCAGTACTCTCAGTCCCAGCACGCGCAGGCTCAGTACACTCAGTCCCAGCACCCGCAGGCTCAGTACGCTCAGTCTCAGCTCCAGTGTCCACTGCAGAAGGCTGCAGAGGCGGGAAACTGGGGGGGGTAGCCAAACGAGGAGAGCAGTCACCCCCAGACGTACCACTCCCAGGCCCAGCTCCAGCAGCCTCAGCTCCAGAGTCCACAGCAGCAGGCTGCGGAGGTGGCGAAGACGGCCGAGGCGGGAAACCCGGGGGGGTCTCCAAGCGAGGAGTCTGGCGAGTGGTCGCCATGTCGTCGGCGACGGCGTCACCCCCCTCAGCTGAGTCAGAGGAGTCAGAAGAGATCTCAACTGGCTCATCCAAGGGGGGTGGGTCTACCTGGGACACAGCTGAGGGAGCAGGACCTTGTGGGGGAAGGGGGTCTACCGGGGGGGGGACTGGTACCAGGAAGAGAGGCGCGAGGGGGACCGGGTGGGACGCGTGTGGGTGAAGTCGGTAGTAACAGACCGACTCGTCGAAGGTGACGTCCTGAGAGGACAGAACACGACGCGAGGCAGGGTGGTAGAACTGCCAGGGTGGAGCGTCGGTGGGGAAGCCCAGGAAGATACAGCGGAGAGTGCGAGGAGAGAGCTTGCTCGCTTTGGTATCGCGAACAAGGGAGAG